ATTGTTTCAAGCAACTAGTAACTTCACTTTTCTCAATAAGCAGAAAAACCCAAACAGCTCTAGAAAAATCATCCACAATAGTGAGGAAATAATGTGACCCAGTAGAAATACATGGAGAATATGGTCCCCATAAATCACAATGAATCAAATCAAACAATTGCTCAGCTTTATTAATACTGGGAGTAAAAGGAGAACGAGTCTGTTTGGAAAAGAAACAAATATCGCAGGACTGAAAATTTTTAATTTCAGTAGTGCTCTTATTAAACGGGGGGAAAGATAAAACTTGAGGAGACGGATGACCAAGACGCTGATGCAACAGGGAGACGGATTCGGCTTTGAATGCCTGGGCATGGGATGGAAGGACATAAACTCCGTTGCGTGCTTCACATTGACCAATCCGCGTCTTCGTAGTGCGGTCCTGTATCACACAAAAATGATCATCAAAGAAAACATGACAGTTATGTGAGTTTACAAGGCAACTCACAGAGATCAAATTGCACTTCAAATTAGGAACATATAAAACATCGTGCAAGACAAGAGAAGAAGACACTTGCACACGACCACACGAGGTGGACTAAAACTGGCTCTGATACCATGATAGAATTTTAGGATGGGTATGGACAACTGGATTGGCAATAAGACACTTGAATTGAACCGTGTTAAAAAATTGAATCCAATCGATTACTTAGTCCAACTCAAGGGCTTATATATCGGTTTATTTTTTCTTCAATTTCCGATGTGGGATACTCTAACATATATATATATATATATATATATATATATATATATATGGAAAATCAACAAATAAATATTCATTCTTTAAGTTTATTACGGAATAAAAGTTAAAAAGAAAAGTTGTAAGGGACAAAGGAAATATTAAGTTTCCTCTAACATTTGATTACTGTCACCGTCCCTAAATGATTTATATATTTTACTATTCAAAAATTACAAAGATTTTTTATTTGTGTATTTTCATTGACTATTTGATGAAATAAAATATTCTTGTTACATCTTGTTATGTATAATTTTTGATATGCTTTATTTTTATTTATATACCAATCGTTAAATAAAATAAATTGAAAAAATTTGAGATTTTTTTCATTTTGCGTAAAGAGAAAATGATTTAGGGATAGAATGAGTAAAACTTTTGATACCAACTTAACGGAATCAATTTAATTACAAATTAAATTAAGTATGGGCCGGGATCTGAAAGCTCGTGTAAATTTTTGTATAGAAATCATCCTAAATAGGACTAAAACATAGTGAAAAGTACCAAAATAGGACTTTCATGTTTTTTTCTCAGAATAAGACTTTACATTGTGGTAATGTGACTTTGCATTGTGGTAATGTTGCAGTGTACATGTGCAAATTACTATACTTTTTTGGTAATGTATATGACCATGTTTGGTAATGTAAGTCCTATTTTGGGAATAAAAACATGGAAGACCTATTTTGGTATATTTTCAATGTTTTAGTCCTACTTTGGTCTTTCTCCCATTTTTGTATCCAAAAGAATACTGACGTGTTTTTAATACATACTCTCTCCGTCTAGAAATGTTCTTCTCATTTGACTTTGTTCTTCCTATTTGACTTTTTACAGTCTCCAAGATTATACTTTGACCACTAATATCTTTATTTATACATGGATATATTTTATAAAAATTTGATATTTGAAAACTATATTTCAAAATGAATATATTCATATTAAAGTTTTATCCTAATACAATGTGTTTTTTCTACATATCATAGTCAAAGTTTACAAACTTTGACCAAGAAAAGTCAAATGAAAAGAATATTTTCGGACGGATGGAGTATTTAATTATATATTAATAAAATTTTTTGAAGCAATGCGCAAAAGATTTTCTTTATGACTTAATTTTCTCTATTCTCTAAAACTATTTTTTCATATACTATTTTTTCTTTATTTTCTTTTCTATTCTTCTATCTTTTATTTTAGTTTAGATTAAAATAAAGAGACGGTATAAAATTAATGAACAGAAAAATGAGCTTTAGTGAAAAAGAGATTTTTTTTTATTTATTTTCTTTTCATGAAAATGAACCAACTAAAGCTTCTTTTGGCCAAAAAATGAAAATGTTTAATTTTAGACAAATGACGTGTACGTTAATTCTTGTTATCTCATTTATTTTTATTGCAAACACAAAAAATTATTATTAAAACATTGTCAAAAAATAATTTTAAAAAAGAATTTAAAAAGTATTTATGAAAGAATAGTAGAAAATAGAAAAACAATAAAAAGGGGGCATTTGTGCTATTTTTCAAAATCATAGAGGCAGTGAAGCTATTCACATAATATTTGAAGGATATTGTAGTCTAGAGGAACATTATGGTAGCAATATCAGAACTAAGAGGGGCAAAGGTGTAAGTTTGAAACCATATGGGTAATAACAAGTGCATACTTCCTCCGTCCCACTATATTTGTCCACTTTCATTTTTGCACACCATCTAATACACTTCTTTAATCCATTTTATCTTGTAATTTGTATATTAAAAAATTATAGAAATTATATATTAATAATCTATATGTTAAGACAAATCAAACAAGATCACGCATGACTATATTTAGGCTTACACATTGAGAGAATTTGATGAGTCAAAGTGCTTAGATGAACAGTTCCAAAAGTCAAAAGTGGACGAATATAGCGGGACGGAGGGAGTATTTACCAAACTGCGAGGAGTATTTGTGCAATAAACTCGTCTTATTTAGGTTTATTATTTTTCCCACAAAACCCACTTTTCATTTTNAAGTTTGAAACCATATGGGTAATAACAAGTGCATACTTCCTCCGTCCCACTATATTTGTCCACTTTCATTTTTGCACACCATCTAATACACTTCTTTAATCCATTTTATCTTGTAATTTGTATATTAAAAAATTATAGAAATTATATATTAATAATCTATATGTTAAGACAAATCAAACAAGATCACGCATGACTATATTTAGGCTTACACATTGAGAGAATTTGATGAGTCAAAGTGCTTAGATGAACAGTTCCAAAAGTCAAAAGTGGACGAATATAGCGGGACGGAGGGAGTATTTACCAAACTGCGAGGAGTATTTGTGCAATAAACTCGTCTTATTTAGGTTTATTATTTTTCCCACAAAACCCACTTTTCATTTTCTTAACAAATTCTAACAAAAAAATTACTTGTTCAAAACTTTTCTTAAATTTTGTGAAAATCAAACACGGAAATTTTTTATACTCTCTTCGTTACAAATTAGATTATACAATTCGAAGAATGTGCAGAGCTCTGTTCCTTTTAAATGTAATTTATTTGAAAATTTGTATTGAAATAAATAATGTAATGAATATGCATTAACATTTCCACAAAATAAATGGTGACAAAAATATTTTATTTTATCATAAAGTTACTAAAAAATAAGAATACAAATATAAAATTGTCAAAAGATTAGAATAGTAACTCTGTAATTTATTTTGGAACGGAAGGACAAAAGTGGTATATTATATTTGTTGCACCACGTTTGCCTATAAATAGGATCGTTCCTCATGGCCGAACTACACACCACAATCATATCACATATTCTCATTTCTTTGTCACAAAATTTCCTCATTTAATTTATATTTTATATAATAATAAAAAATAAATAAAAATCCGAAAGAAAAGATGAAGAAGCCCTGCAGCGTCAACGTTCCGATCGCCGTTATCTTCATCTTTATGATGCTTCTCTCTACCAATGGTTAATTCCATTTATTTTTCATTTTCACAATCTACCTATTCTCTCTCTCTCTCTCTCTCTCTCTCTCTCTCTGCTTTTACGAGATTTTAGTGTTTTGCTGGATTTATTTTTTGTTTCATATTTTAATTATTAAATCATTGACAATTTGTTTATTACTCTTTGCGTCTTAGAGTATTTTTTTTTACTTTTCCTAATCAACTAGGATAATCGATTAGTTAAATAAAATAATGCTTATATTTTACAGGATAAATATAATAAAATTAATCTGGGGTCAATATGTGTAAACTTTATTTTAAATTTTATCAATTTTGACAATAAAAGTCAAGCCAAACAAAGGGGGTAGTATAGGATATGCACTAATTAACTTTTAGAAATGGTCTTTTATATTTAAAAATATTTCACATTTCATCTACCCTTCGTCCCATAAAACCTTTCATATCTGAAAAAAGGGGTATTGTTAGCATGAGTAATTTTGTTGTTATTTTTAAATTTTACCCTTACTTTATAACAGAATAGGATGAGATGTGTAAAATAGACGAGTTATAATTGAAAAATAATACCAAAAATTCTTATGTTAAAGGCGTGCTTTATTTTTGAAACAGAAAGAATTTTATAGGACAGATGGAGTATTATATTAGGAAAATGATTACAAAAATGAATTGGTATGATTATAAAAAAAACAAAAAAAGAATTTGTGCCTAAGTAAATTATTGTTAATGATGAGATATGATATTTTGGGTGGGAGTGCAGAAGTAGGGATAAAGGTGGTGGAAGGGAAGCTGTGCCACTACAGAAGCCAGAAGTGGACTGGGCCATGTGTTTTAGGGCACGACTGCCACAAGAGCTGCCTCGGTCAGGGCTTTGCTGGGGGCCAGTGCCACGGCCTTCGTCACCTTTGCTACTGCTACAAAAACTGCTAATCGTTAATTAATTAATCTCCTTTTAATTAATTACGGAGTAATTAATTAATTCCTCCTTTTCATAATCGAATAAAATTAAATAATAAGATTTTCGCTTTTCAGCTTGATGTACTTATTGTGTTGTAATGTTGCATATTGACATTCCCCATGTCTCATGTGTTTATTAAGTATTGTATGAATAATAATAAGTAAAATAAAAGGTCTGCGTTTGTGGTTGATTTTCTTAGTTTTTATTTTGTTTCATACATTCACAATAGAACTAAACAATTTAGAAAATAAAGAGGAAAATTAAATCACATGAATAGCTTATTTTTAATATTATAATGAGTACTTATTGTCTCACTTAGAGCATCTCCAATCATCATACTTTAGCTTGTTAAAAACCATAATATAGCAAGTCAACCCATTTTTCTCTTCTCCAATGGGTGTGTTAAATTTTAGTAAGGTTGTCGAAAAATGACTCTGACTTGCTAAATATAACAAGCTCTCCAAATTATAGAAAACCAAGACTTGTAGAATGAATTAGCAAGCCAAGGTTGGAGAATGAAATAAAATATCACTTACTTTATCACTATTCACTTGTTAAAATATAAAAATAGCAAGCCAATATAGTAAACATGTTTGGAGATACTCTTATAGCATGAAAAATAAGGGCAAATCGACCGTGATTTACTTTTTTTTTGTCCCGAAAAAAATTCTTTTCTTTTTTTAGAGTTTCTAATTAAAATTTCGTTATTTTGCAGCACAAAAATATGGAGCGTTGAAATTTCATTCTGAATCCAAATTTTCCGTATCAATTTCATAAATACATAGCTTCAGTAGTACAAAAATGTGTGGATGTAGAATTGAAGTCACGATTGAGTTACATATCAATTCTATATAAGTTTATGCCACCAAACAAGGAATTTGGAATTATAACACAATTTTATATTCTCTGTCCAGATGTGATCTTCTTATTTGATTTTTGGGAGAAAGACTAAAGTAGGATTAAAACATTGAAAATATACCAAAATAGGACTTCCATGTTTTTTTTCCCAAAATAGGACTCACATTACCAAACATGGTCATATATATTACCAAGAAAGTGTAGTAATTTGCACATGTACACTGCCACATTACCACAATGCAAAGTCACATTACCACAATGCAAAGTCCTATTCCAGGAAAAAAAACATGAAAGTCCTTGATACGAGTTGTATCGCCGGAACGGCAAAGGGTCCGGCTATGGCCTTAAGCTGCCGACGTGAATGCTTGCGGCTCCGTAGGGTTTTGTGGGCAGAAAGGGGAAATACCCGTTTAGGGTTTAGAGAGAAGAATAAGAGAAGGAGAGGACTATTATTATTGAAGATGATGCGTAGGGTTACAAGAGACCCTATTTATAGTGAATCCTTCTCAAACCTAATTTACTAAATTATCTATCCTGTTGGTTCAAGAAAAGCGACGAGGTAAAGAACCGAAAAGAAACCCTCGAAGGAGCATTATAATTACTGCTCACCTAGTAAAAATCTACGGTACAATAAACCATATAATAAAATAAATTAAATATAATCTTGGTATCGCTTGGGCGGTTTAACCTGTCTCTGAGGCCGCTCCGTAATTGTCACAACCTCCGCATTGGCTGCACCCGTGCCCGTATCAACTCCCCCCGGGTTAGAAGCGTCCTTGTCCTCAAGGCATAGATCGGGGAAATGTTCGCGCAATGCTGTAACCGGTTCCCACGTAGTGTCACTGTCAGACCCGTCAGACCACCTGATCAACCATTGTTCCTGTGAGTTGCCGTCGACCATCACCACCCGACTGGCGATCGCCGTGACAGGGGTGGATATTGGGCGTCCCTTGAAGAAGGCGTCTGGCAAGGTGGCTACTGGTAGGGATCCATCTCGAGCAACGAAAGGTCGGAGTAGGGAAACATGAAAGACGTATGCAAGCGACACCCCTCTGGAAGGTGTAGCCGATATGCCACTGTACCAACGCGTTCAACCACCTGGAAGGGCCCATAGAAGCGTTGGGCAAGCTTGGCAGATACCCGGCGTGCTAGGGAGTGCTGCCGATAGGGGTGTAATTTCAGGAGCACAAGGTCCCCCACAACGTACTCCACGTCGCGCCGATGACGGTTTGCCTGGGCACGCATCCGGTGTTGCATCTTCTCCAACTGAGCCTTCAAATCATGCAGCAAGTCAGCACGCTCAGAGAGTATTTCTTCGACGCGGGGATCCTTGGACCGTACGGCCAGCGTTGGGAAAAGGGATGGTGGAGGCCGACCGTACAAGGCTTGAAAAGGTGACAGCCCCAGCCCTTCGTGGTGACTGCAATTTAACGCCAACTCTGCCCAGGGTAAAAAGTGTGCCCACTTCGACGGCCGCTCGAATGTAAACGCGCGAAGGTATTGCTCCACGCTTCGGTTGACCACCTCGGTTTGGCCATCGGATTGTGGGTGGTAAGCGGTGGAGAACTTAAGGGACGTGCCGCTAAGGCGCATGAGCTCCCGCCAAAAACTCCCCATGAAAACCGAATCCCTATCTGAGACAAGTGATGTAGGAAACCCATGATGCTTGACCACAACCTCAACGAATAATTGGGCCACACGAGGAGCATCGAACCCGGTCTGCAAAGCCCCCATATGTGTATATTTACTCAAGCGGTCAACCACGACCATGATGACTGTGAAACCCTTAGATGACGGGAGGCCGGTGATAAAATCCATTGAAGCCGAGTCCCATACCTGACTTGGGATCGGAAGAGGTTGTAGCAGCCCGGCCGGTTTCTGAGTGGAGTATTTGGTCATTTGACAGACCAGGCAGGAGGCCACAAATCGACGCACGTCTTTCCGCATTGAAGGCCAATAGAACACCTGGGCTAGTCGGCGGAATGTGCGTTCTCTCCCTTGGTGACCGGCGACAGGAGTGGAGTGAAATTCATGGAGGAGCTGATCCCGAAGAGAGGAGGTGGGGCTGACATACAAACGGCGTTTGAAATAGAGCAGCCCGTCATGGGCAGACACGTCCGAGGGTGCTGTACCTGCGGTCACTGCCGAGTGGAGTTCTTGAAGATCCGGCAGGGAGGCATTTTCCCATCGCAATGCCTGCATGATGTGTGGTACCGGTTGGGCATACGTGTTGAAGAGGCCAGCTGTTTCCTCCTCACAGTCCCGTCGCGAAAGTGCATCTGCAGCCCTGTTGGTCGCTCCTTTTTTATACTCGATTCGAAATTTAAAGCCCATGAGCTTACGGAGGTAAAATTGTTGGTCGGGTGTTTGGACAATTTGGGCGAGCAACTCTTTGAGGCTTCGCTGATCACTCCGTATAACGAACTCGCGACCCAAGAGGTACTGGCGCCACTTCTGAACCGCTTCCACAATTGCATAAAGTTCCTTGTGGTAGGTGGAAGCCGCCCGGCGGCGTGGACCCAGTTTTTTACTAAAGAAGGCAAGAGGATGCCCTTGCTGCATGAGAACCGCACCGATACCCGAGTCCGAAGCGTTTGTCTCCACGTAAAATGTTTGTGTGAAATCCGGTAGCCGAAGAACTGGGGCGGTAGTCATCGCTGTTTTGAGGTTGGAGAAGGCCTGTTCTGCGAATGAAGACCACTGGAAACTGTCCTTTTTGAGCAATTCTGTAAGTGGGGCGGCTATTCCCGCATAGCCGGCAATGAAGCGGCGGTAGTACCCCGTTAGTCCCAGGAAGCCACGAAGTTGTTTAACGGATTTCGATACGGGCCATGCGAGCATTGTCGCGATCTTGTCCGGGTCTGGACGCAACTCTCCGCCCCCGATGAAGTGTCCCAAGTAGCCGATGGTGAGTTTCCCAAAGGAGCACTTACTAAGCTTGACATAGAAGGAATTATCCCGTAAGATTCCAAGCACTGTACTCAAGTGACCGGCATGCTCGGACATAGTGGAACTGTAAATCAAAATATCGTCGAAAAAGACAATCACAAATTTGCGTAGGTACGGCCGAAAAATATGATTCATCGCGCTCTGAAAGGTGGACGGTGCATTGGTGAGACCGAATGGCATAACTAAGAACTCATAGTGCCCGTCGTGGGTTCGAAACGCCGTCTTGAAGATGTCATCCGTGTGCATGCGGATTTGGTGATACCCCGACCGCAAATCCAGCTTGGTAAAGACTTGGGCAGCCCCTAACTCGTCAAACAATTCATCCGTGGTGGGGATCGGAAAGTGATCTGGAATGGTCGCGGCATTGAGAGCCCTGTAATCCACGCAAAAACGGAAAGTGCCATCCTTTTTGCGAACCAACAAAACTGGAGAAGAAAATGGGCTATGGCTTGGCCGAATGAGGCCCTGCTCCAACATTTCACTGACTTGCCGCTCGATCTCGGTTTTCTGAAAATATGGGTAGCGGTACGGACGAACATTTATAGGTTTGGTGGCTGATTCTAGGTGAACGCGGTGATCCCACTCACGAGACGGAGGAAGACCCTGCGGCATGCCAAAGATGTGTGCGTTGGCAGTGAGGACCTCCTGGAGAGAGGTCGGCACATCCCCTGGAATGTCCACTGGTGCTGTAGGAGTTGCGGCCAACTGATCATCGGCCGGAAGAATCTCATATAAATCCCAAGGTTCGGGGGATGCCGCCAAAGTGCAAAATTGACTGAAGGAAATAGGCCGAGGTGGAGGCAGATCCCCTCGTAAGGTAACCGTGGCTCCCTTTCAAACAAATTCCATTGTCATTTGGGAATAATCATGTGCCACCTTACCCAATGTTTGTAGCCAGTGTACACCTAAAACAATATCCGGGCCAAACATACACCCGAAACGGCTGTACGGGGTGCAAGGGCAGTGCCAAACGCTCCGCGACCGTGGGGTGAATGAAGTTGTGCGTGCTGCCTCCATCCAAAAGTACCTGGACAGCCCCATGATTCACCAAACCGGCTAAACGGAGGGAGCGTGGGCTCGGGCTACCCGTCATGGAATGCATGCTGGAGATGTCAGCCGCGATATGCACGGAGTCCGTGGTGTCCTCCGGTGTCTCGGTGTCAGGTGAAGGAACGTCGTCGTCGTCTGGCCCCATGAACACCAAGAACCGATGCTTGCAATGATGACCCGGAATCCACTTCTCGTCACAATACCAGCAAAGGCCCTTTTTATTACGCTCCGCCTTTTCTGCGTTTGACAATCGGACAACTGGGAGCATGTTGGTTCTGTTGCCACCACGTTGTGGGCTGGCGGGGGGTCGGTTCGGGATGGAGGGAGGTGGCAGAATACCTGGCGCTGTGGAGGGAGACTGGCGGTGCTGCCAAGGCCGTCAACTGGTGGAGGGCGACTGTACCGCGGCATCATGATGACATGCCGAGAGTTCGCGTGCCAAAGCAAAGGTAGCCTGAAGAGTGGATGGGTTGCGGAGATTGAGTTCACGCTGGACCGGCTGTTTAAGACCGGCGACGTACATGGCAACCAACGTTGATTCGGGCACCCCGGAAACTTTATTCAGAATGGCCTCAAAAGCAGTCTGATACTCCATAACGGTGGTCGTCTGTGTAAGCTTGGATAAGAGCCCAACGTAGTTCTCATAGTAGTCAGGATCAAATCGTTGGTGGACAGCCTCTAAGAACTCCTGCCAAGAGGCTTCGATGTTGTTTGCCTGGTAATAATGGAACCACTCGGACGCCGGATGATCGATTAACATGGCAACCAATTGAAAACGTTCCGGCTCGGGAGTCAAAAAATAATCAAAATACTTTTGTACCCGGAAAATCCATCCCGTGGGGTCCTCGCCCGAGAAACGGGGCGCGTCGACACGCATGCGCGGGGTAGGATCAAACGTCGGAGGAGTAGTCCGTGACGGAGGAGGCCGCCAACCCGGTTGGGGAACGCCCGGCGGCCGGCGTTGCTCCAGCTCCTGCAACGGCTGTTTGGGAGTTGCAAGTTCCGCCACGCGGAGTTTCGTGGCTTGAAGGTCGTTGCTCAAGTTATTAATAGCATGCATAATATCGTCTAGAGTGACGGCGGAAGAATCCTGAGGAGTAGACATGAAATCGTCAATGAGTTCAAGAATGAAAGCACCAGATGATACGAGTTGTATCGCCGGAACGGCAAAGGGTCCGGCTATGGCCTTAAGCTGCCGGCGTGAATGCTTGCGGCTCCGTAGGGTTTTGTGGGCAGAAAGGGGAAATACCCGTTTAGAGTGTAGAGAGAAGAATAAGAGAAGGAGAGGACTATTATTATTGAAGATGATGCGTAGGGTTACAAGAGACCCTATTTATAGTGAATCCTTCTCAAACCTAATTTACTAAATTATCTATCCTGTCGGTTCAAGAAAAGCGACGAGGTAAAGAACCGAAAAGAAACCCTCGAAGGAGCATTATAATTACTGCTCACCTAGTAAAAATCTACGGTACAATAAACCATATAATAAAATAAATTAAATATAATCTTGGTATCGCTTGGGCGGTTTAACCTGTCCCCGAGGCCGCTCCGTAATTGTCACAACCTCCGCATTGGCTGCACCCGTGCCCGTATCAGTCCTATTTTGGTACTTTTCTCTATGTTTTAGTCCTATTTAGGATGATTTTTATTGATTTTTTTGGGTCAAAGTTTGTTAACTTTGACGTTAATATTCATAAGATATAAATACATCATGTTTTGATACAAATGTAATATCAATAATTTTTTTTATGAAACATAGTTTTGAAATATATTAAAATTTCATAAAATATTACCACGTAAAAATTTATTGCGTATATATTAAGAGTCAAAATATTATATTGTAAATCGTATAAAGTCAAATGGGAAGATCATTGAGGACGGAGAAATTATATTATTTGCAATTGCTTAATTACACCAAACATAAAATCTGAAATTGAACTAAGAACTCAATTTTATTCAATTTAATTTGATAGAATTTCAGTTATAATTCATATCTAATTTCGTGTGCTAAATATAGCCTCACTTTTCTTAAAATATCACTAAATTCAAACCCTAAAATTAAGTTAAAATTAGACTGAAAGAAGTGATGTGTTACTCGGTTGATCGAGGTGTGCTAATTAGGGTACACCACATTGATAAAAATATACACAGACCACAATTATCTACTCACTCCGTTCTCAAAAATACTACCTCTTTCATTTTCTCTACTTTCAACAAAACACTTCCCATTTCTATTAAAAACCCTCTTTTACCCTTACTTTTTCATACCCTACCTATCACATCATACTTTTTCTCTAATAATCTATCCATCACATCTTACTTTTATCTATCACATCAGGGGCAAAATTGGAAATCAACTATAATTTAACACTTCCTTATTTTTGCCCCCAAATCAAATGGGAAGAGTTTTTCCAAACGGAGGGAGTATATGTAAAGAGACAATTGGTACCTGTGTTTATCTGTAACATACTAACATACTCTCTTCGTTTCTGAAAATCTTTTTTCTTTTTTTGTCCGTCTCAAAAAAAAATTCTCATTTCTATTAAAAGTTTATTTTTATTCCTAGTAATTCTTAACGTACCTATTACATCACATTTATTCAATATTAATCTACCCAATAACTCATATTTTTACCCATTATATCTAAATATATTTTTTGAAACTCAACACCAAAATACATTCTCTTTAAATCTCTTAAAAATCAAACTAATGTTTTTTGCGACAGAGGGGTATATATTTGTTATATAAGTGATTTACACGAAGCTTTTTCCTATTCGGTTACTCCGTATATCAGATTGTTGGTGTCGTGCCAAAAATGACTACAAACTAATTTGATCCTTAAAAAAAGGACACATTCAAAACTCATTTCCTTATCAACCAACTCCACAAACACGTATAGCAAATTATGTAGTGTATTTATATGGGCTTATTTTTCCTTTTCATTTGTATATATCTTTGCATAAATTAAACACTACAAGAAAGAAAACTTAGAAATCAAATGGCGCATTTCTTAAGATTATCTATAAGTATATTCCTCATGCTTTTGCTTCTTTTCTCTACCGGTAATTACAATTCTTTCCAACCAAATATATATAGACTACTCCCTCCGTTCCACAAAACCCTTCCGGTTTTGACTTTGGGGAAAAATAAGGAAAGTGTAATTTTAGTTGACTTTCCAATTTTGCCTCTGATATGATGGGAAAAAGTAAGATGTGAAAGTTTGTTTATTAGTAAAAAAGTGTTAGAAATATCAAACAAAAAGAAGAATAGTGTGGAATAGTGTAATATCTTGATGATATCCTTGATTGAAATCAAATTACCAATCAAGATATTTGATTAATTTCCACTCACTTTCCTTGATTGTCTCCATTAGTAACTTTGTAATATTTATAGACATCATTAGAGATGTATTCAATAAGATGAATATTTGAGCTGTGAATTCATTCTATCATTACTTCTAATATGGTATCAGAGCAATCATTCGATCAAACGATTGAATGAAACGCAGCTTTCATCATCTACCATAAAAAAAAATATAAAAAATGTCTGAACAAACTCCAGAGAGCTCCACCTACACAGGGGAGTCTGACCCAATGAAGCAGCCTGTGAATCTTGCACAAATTTTGGAAATTCTGCAAAATTTCCAAAATTTAGCACCCAAGGCCGAACTTACCGAGAGCTCCTCAAATCAACAGTTAAATTTGGCGGAAAAGCTCAACGATAAGAACTACGCCATTTGGGCGCGCAAGATGAGCTTAGCTCTGGACGGGAGAGGGCGGCTCAAGCACATCACTGCCGCACCTCTCAAAACTGATGATCCCAAATATATCAAGTGGAGGCAAACAGATTCAACAGTGATTACTTGGATACTAGAAAACATAGAGTCGGATATTGTAAATCAATACATCGAATATCCGACTGCATGGGATTTGTGGAAGGGAATCGAAGCCA